TAAAGATTTTATTTATTTGACCCAGAGAGACACAGCGAGAGAGGGAACACAAGCAGGGGGAGTGGGAGAGGGAGAAGCAGGCCTCCCGCAGAGCAGGGAGCCCGATGCGGGCTCCATCCCAGGACCCTGGGATCATGACCTGAGCCGAAGGCAGACGCTTAACGACTGAGCCACCCAGGCGCCCCTGCTTTACCTTTTTTAAAGGCTACTATGTGAAGAATGCATAGGTATGAACAGATGACACAGCTATAAGCAGAGACTAGCAATTCAAGCAAGAGGTGATGACGGCTTAGCCATGGTGGTAGAGACGAGCTGAGCACAGATGAGAGATATATTTAGCTAGTCAGAAAAAGTAGAAAAAAGAGAGGGTAAAAAAGAAGGTGGGTGTTCTAAGCCTTAGCATCCAGGGTAAGCAGACACTTAGGGCAAGAACTGCACTAATGAGTGGAATTCTCATTTAGAACTGCGACAGATAAGATCTTCACCTGCTATAGGTGGGCAGTCTTAGAGCCACAAGTGTATTTGTTACTAGAAGTATAACAGTGATGTGACTTCTTCCCCTACTGAGGCAGAAATACGGTTATGTTGAACAGTTGGCACATGTTTCTGATACTGATAATTTAAGTACATAGAGACTGTTCATTTAGCCGATATTCATTGAGTAGTTGTGTTCCTGGCACTCTTAACAAGGTCCTGGAGACTCAAAGATAAATCATTTAGTCCTGTCCTCAAAAATTCTACAGTCTAACAGGCGAATATTTGACCAACCAATAATTATATGTTAAGTTCTATAGGGCACTTTGAATAGTAAGCTATGAGTGTACAGAAGAATACTTGATTCAAACAAATGCTGATCTTTCTCGGACTCTTGGAAGTTAAGTATACAAATAGTTATAATAACATGCTCATTTTCTTTCAGAAGCTTTATAGGGGCATTTAAAAAAAAGATTACTTGAGAGAAATGTACAAGATTTTTCTAACACGATATATAAAAAATACTAGAGCAGAGGGAATGAAGGTAAAGCAGTCGGTTGCTACAGTAGTAAAGTTGTAAGATGCTGAGAAAAAAAGATATAGGATAGTGTCTGTGGAAGTTGCAAGGAAAGTGGATTTAAGACCATGGGACGTGGCAAAGAGCAGTTTGAAGAAGTGAGGAGAAAAATTTGAAGGACAAATTCTTCATATTGGTAAGATATTCATGCTGGATAGTACAAAGTCTTCTTAGGCAAAAACTTTTTAGATATCCTCTGTGGGTAATTAAAATTCTCTTACTTTGAGGATAGTTTGGGGGAGATGCACAGAGTAGTCAAGTTCCATTCAGTACTAATTCTTAATAAATGTGGGTGTGAAGTTAGATAATATAACCTTCAACCAAAGAAGCATCACATTTTCTCATAGGAAATAATTTGGGGGTGTTTGTGGGAGGAAGCAGGAGGTGGTTAAGTAATTGAATATCACTGTATGATGGGCAACTGTGTTGGTTTTAAAAATAATGTTTTGGAAGAACATTTAATAAATGATTTGGGAAATTCTTACGATTTTTTTAAAAAAAGACTTCTATGACATTAAATGGAGGTTGGGAAATGTGTTTGAGTTTGTATGTGAATGTAGAAAAAACTACGTGGGTATATATCAGTTGTTAACAATAGTTATCTTTGTATAATATGGTAATTTTAACTTTCTTATTTACCCTTTTTAATTTTGTCTCAATTTTCTACAGACATCTTTCTTTCATAAATAGGGGGAGGTTTATTTTGGTTTTTTTGTTTGTTTTTAAAGTGGACTCTACGCCAAATATGGGGCTTGAACTCATGACCCCAAGATCAAGAGTTGCATGCTGTATAGCCAAAGCCAGCCAGGTGCCCCTAGGGGGAGTTTTGTGGGGGGGGGGGTTCAGGTGAGTTGTTTTTAAAGCTTTCTTGAATGCCTTATATTCTAGTTCTAGAAATAATTTTAAATGAATTCCAAGAATATTTAGAACAATGGCAGCATCACTGAAATTATAGCTCTCAAACAGAAATACTTAGGTAACTTTAGTTTTTATATTTAAACTCTGGTATGTTTTTAAAAAGCCTTTCTCATAGTTCTGTAGGTATAGCCTCTATATTTATACTCCTCAGTTCTTCAGTAAAATCTCATAGCTAAAGATGGTTATAATTTAATTTCTTAGGACTACCTTATGGCATTATCTCTACAACAAGAGCAGCAGAGCCAAGAGATCAATTGGGAACAAATACCTGAAGGAATCAGTGATTTAGAACTAGCAAAGAAACTCCAAGAAGAAGAGGATAGACGGGCTTCTCAATATTATCAGGAACAGGAACAAGCAGCAGCAGCTGCTGCTGCTGCTTCTACACAGGCCCAGGTAAAAACTATTGTTCTGATTCTTAAATACAATGATCACTTTAGCAACAAAGAAATTTGTACTGAGATAAATATTTTTAAATTCGGTATTGACTCTTGAGTTATGTTAGCATTTTAGCACCCATGGTTTTATGGCATTGTCATAAGTTTATTATCTTAATATATTTCTCATTTAGTGAAATTATTTCTCCTGAGTTTCTGATGGCAAGATTTTTCAGTTTTTGTTTTTTGTTTTGTTTGTTTTGTTTTTTAAGTAGGCTCCACGCCCAGTGTGGAGCCCAACGCGGGGCTTGAACTCACGACCCTGAGATCAGGACCTGAGCTGAGATCAAGAGTCGAAGCTTAACCGACTGAGCCACCCAGGCGCCCCTTCAGTTGTTTTTGTTTTTGTTTTTAATTTAATTCCAGTGTAGTTAACATACAGTGTTATATTAGTTTCAGGTGTACAAAATAGTGATTTAACAATTCTATACATTACTCAGTGCTTGTCAAGCTAAGTGTACTTTTAATCCCCTTCACGTATTCCCCCCATTTCCCCCTCTTCATCCACCTCCCTTCTGGGAAGTATCTGTCTGTTCTCTATAGTTAAGAGTTTATTTTTGGGTTTGTCTCTTTTTTTTCCCTTTGTTCATTTAGTTTTGTTTCTTAAATTCCACATATGAGTGAAATCATACAGTATTTGTCTTTCTCTGACTGGCTTATTTCACTTAGTATTATACTCTTTAGCTCCATCCATGTTGTTGCAAGTGGCAAGATTCCATTCTTTTTCATGGCTGAATAATATTCCATTGTGTATATCACATATTCTTTATCTATTTATCTATTGATGGACACTTAGGAGGCTTCCATAATTTGGCTATTATAAATAATGCTGCAGTAAACATAGCAGTGCATGTATCCCTTTGAATTAGTATTTTGTATTCTTTGGGTAAATGCCCAGTAGTGTAATTGCTGGGTCATATGGTAGTGCTATTCTTAATTTTTTGAGGAACCTCCACAATAGCTGCATCAGTCTGCATTCCCCCCAGTGCATGAGGGTTCCTTTTTCTCCACATCCTTACCAACACTTGTTGTTTCTTATGTTTTTTAATTTAGCCATTCTGACAGATATGAGGTGATATCTCATTGTGGTTTTGATTTGTATTTCCCTGATGATGAGTGATGTGGAGTGTCTTTTCATGTGTCTGTTGGCCATCTGTATGTCTTCTTTGGAGAAATGCCTGTTTATGTCTTCTGCCCATTTTTAACTTTTTAAATTATTTATTTACTTAAAGGAGAGGGAGCGAGTGGGAGGGAGAGGGAGAGAAGATCTGAAGCAGACTCTGCCCTGAGTGCAGAGCCCAACGTGGGGCTCTATCCCACGACTGTGAGACTACAACCCAAGCCGAACCAAGAGTCAAACGCCCAACCGACTGAGCCACCCAGGCACCCCTTCTGCCCATTTTTAATTGGATTATTTGTTTTCTTGGTGTTGAGTTGTAGAAGTTCTTTATATATTTTGGATACTAACCCTTTATCAGATATGTCATTAACAAATACCTTTTCCCATTCAGTAGCTTGTCTTTCAGTTTTATTGATTGTTTCCTTTGCTGTGCAGAGCTTTTTATTTTGATGTAGTCCCAATAGTTTATTTTTACTTTTGTTTCCCTTGCCTCAGGAGACATATCTAGAAAGATGTTATTATGGCTGATGTCAGAGAAATTACTGGCTGTGCTGTCTTCTAGTATCTTTATGGTTTCAGGTCTCACATTTAAGTCCTTAATCTGTTTTGAGTTTATTTTTATGTATGGTGTAAGAAAGTTGTCCAGTTTCATTCTTTTGCATGCAGTTGTCCAGTTTTCCCAACACCATTTGTTGAAGAGACTTTTTCCTGTTGCATATTCTTTCCTCCTTTGTCAAAGATTATTTGACCATATAACTGTAGGTTTATTTCTGTGTTTTCTGTTCTGTTCCATTGATGTATGTGTCTATTTTTGTGCCAGTATCATACTGGTTTTTTGGTTTTTGTTTTAAGTAATCTCCACACCAAACATGTGGCTCAGACTCATGACCCTGAGATCAAGAGTGGCATGCTCTTCTGACTGAGCCAGCCAGGCATACTGTTGATTACTACAACTCTGTAATATAACTTGAAGTCTGGAATTATGAGACCTCCAATTTTGTTTTTCTTTTCCAAGATTGATTTGGCTATTCAGGGTCTTTTGTGGTTTCATGCAAATTTTAGGATTGTTTGTTCTAGCTCTGTGAAAAATGCTGTTGGAATTTTGATAGGGATCGCATTAAATCTGTAGATTGCTATGGGTAGTATAGACATTTTAATAATATTTGTTCTTCCAATCCATGAGCATGGAATGTCTTTACATTTCTTTGTGTTGTCTTCAATTTCTTTCATCAGTGCTTTATAGTTTTCAGAGTACACATCTTTCATCTCTTTGGTTAAGTTTTTTCCTAAGTATTTTATTATTTCTGGTGCAATCGAATCAAATGTATTTTTTAAATTGTATATCCAAAGAATATAAACCAATGGGAACAAAGTCTTTTGTAACAATTAAAGGGCAGTATGAAGTACTGCTGGGAAGAATGTAGACTTCAGAGCCAGATAGAAATGGATTGCATTTCCTGCTTCTGTCTACCCCTGCTAGTTGTAACACCTTGGACAAAGTCCTTTACCTCTCTTAGCCCCATTTTCCCTATCTTGAAAATAAAAGATAATGCTTAACTCTTAGGTTTGTGGGTAAGAACAAATAATGTTAGTACTTAACCCAATGTCTGACATGTACTAAGTATTCAACAAAGGTTATTAGTACCTTTCCACTTTTCCTAAACGTATTAAGCACTGAAAATGTGACTATTAAGTGGGTTACTTTATATTAAATCTCATTTTATTAAATGAAAAAAATATTTCCCTTCTTTTATGTTTAACTGTACCATGCCAGAACGGTTCCTTTGACCTGGGTATTTAAGAAAACAAGGTGCACTCTAAGGTCTGACGAAACTTTAAACATAGAGGTCTCCATTAACCTAAGTATTTCTATTCCTAATTCAAATATTGACTATTCCAAGCTTAAAAGTTAAAATCTACCATGTTATGAGTAGCTTTTCATTAAAAACGTTCTCTTACATTCTCTTATTTCACAGAATACACTTATTTCACACTCAGAGTTCTCAGGATTTTTGTTTTTCTCCTTTAAAATCTGTTTTTTATAGTAATGAGGTTTATTATAGTTTAATGAGCTCTTAGGGAACTTAATTTACCAAATGTCACCTTCTTTAACATTTTCTAAACTTTAACATAAATATTTCTTGAATTTGAGGTTTCAGGGAATATAATCCTATATATTATTTATTGTTTGAAATTCCATTTACTTAGAATAATGGATACATTAATTAGATCTATCTAAAATGACAGGAGCAGTTATTCAGATACCATGTAACATAACAAATCTGTATACAAATAACTTTTTTTTCCATTAATGATTCCTTTCACTCTTGTGGTTTTTCCTTCTAGATAACTATGATTAAGCACCTTAGAAAGTTGAGGTAATTTCTTCCTGTTTATTTTTCTTAAAGCAAAGCCAGCCAGCACAAGCCTCTCCAAGTAGAAGACAACCTGGGAATAGTGAACGTAAACGAAAGGAACCTCGAGAAAAAGATAAAGAGAAAGAAAAGGACAAAAATAGCTGTGTCATTTTGTAACAAGTGTTGGATTCTGTTGGATGCATCTATATGTCTTGAGAAACAAAACCACAGGAGGAAAGGAAGAAAAACCGATAAATACCGTCTGTGCCTGATTTCCCAATGGATTTTGTTCATGTTTTTCAGGGGAAAGGTTGTTACTTAGTTACAATCAGACTTTTTCAAGTCACACAGTACACTCTTTATGAGCTGGAGTTTCATGTTACAAGTTGGAAATGCTGTGTGTTATCATTCATGAAAAATACTGCACTTGTAGCCAAATAAGCAAATCACAGCAAATTTTGTGTCATAGTGACATTCATAACTCATATCAGTTAGTAAGCTATTTTATCTTCTGTTCTAACAATGAATGGAGGTAACTTATTTTGTCTGATTCCTTCCTGAAATCTAAATATTAGCACAATAGTTTCTGAAATTAATTTTTACAATGTTAAATTATGATCTAATCCAAGAGAAACCAGGGGTTTAATATAGGGATGTAAAAAGAAAAAAAACAAAAACAAACAACAAAAGAACCGAGACAAAAAATAACAAATCAATAACCCTTCATCCTGTATTGGACTAGTTCAGCCCTTGAACAGCTTTACCTTTCTTTAGGAATGTACATTTTAGATATTATCTTGAGAACTGATAACGGAGCTTGGGTTTAATTTAGATAGAAAAAAATAATTTGTATTTCTTTTCCAATAGCAAAAAATTGCATAACACTAATACTCATATTCTATCAAAATCAGATATTAATGACTTTGTAGTGTTGTGAAATTTTGAGGAATTTTGAAATCTTTAATATAGGTAACTTGTACTACAGTTACTATTTATTGACAGTGTGATAACTGAGTATAAGAAGGAAACCAGAGTGGATGCTAGGCCTTGTAAATATGGGATGTAGAAAAGCAGATAGTTCAATGTCTACCTTTTTCTAGAATTACCTTGAACCTTAAAATTTAAATCATGTTTATTTGCTGGAAAATTAAGTATACTTATTAAAGCCAACAAAACACATTTCTGAAAGGAAGAGAAATAATCTCTGAGCCTAGTGAAAAAGCATTAATAAAAATCTGTTTGAAAATAGATAAGAATTGGGAGGAATTTATGTAAAAGCAATCAGATTTTTTTTTAACTTATGGGAACCAAATAGGCCTGTAACATCTTGTAGTGTTTATAGGATTCAGAAAGAAATATTTATTGAACTTTATTATGAGGCAACACATATTTTCCTGCATTTCTACTATCCTTAATAGTCCTTTTTATATGCTTTATATTTAAAAGTTTGTTTTAGTTATTTTTGAAAAGACTATTGCTGCTGCAAGTAGTTATGTGATTTACATTCTAAGCCTCAGTAAATTTGTTTAAGAGCATCTTAATCTAACCTGAGCATCCACTTGGAGAATGTTCATGTGGTCTAGAGTTCTTAAGCTATGTCCTTAACATTCTCCATGATCCAAGACCACTTATACGATGAGTCTATATGTAAAAATAAAAAGTAAAGTCTTATTTATGGAAGGAATTATTCTAAGGGAAAAATCCAGGGTCAAGCTATATCTTTTATGTCATGTCCTTCTGCATTGCATGTCTGGTTATGTTATACCATTTGTTTATTCCTTCAGATTTCCTATGCTAGCATGATAAATCATCATAGAATCTGTTTGGGGTATAAAACGTTGATACAAAATATTTGGTGAGTCTCTAGTTAATAACCTACAATATGTGTACATTGGTAAAGTAATCAGATGTACTACAGAATTCTCTGTTGGCTCAAGCAAGTTGACCTTAGTCCAAGTTTACTCTTGATATCACTATCACTCTATTGGTTGAAGGAGGAAACTCAAACCTCAGGGTTTGTTTTTCCTAGAACAGATAGTAGTGATAGTGCATTATATTTTAATAAGAAAAAGCAAAACAGTAAATCCGGAGAAATTTTAAAAAGCATATTTGAGGCATATTTTTCCATAATTATATACTTATCTATTTATTACCCTTGAAAAATATATGTGTAAAAGTTATTCTGTTATTTGTTACTATCTTCTTAATTTGTTCCAAAGATAATACTGCCATTCTGCATTCCCTTTGGAAGAAAAAAAAACTCACTCAAAACCAGCAGTGCTGCTATCAGATAAGTAGATGTCAATGTGTACTTATAAAAAATAACTAAAAAATGTCATGTGTTTGTTAATTCAACCTTTTTTCTATGTAATATTTCCAAGTCAGACTTTCTTACATTCCTGGAATTCAGTTTAATATACCAAGAGTAATTAATGATAAAATGTTTGCTTTGATTACTGTGAGGAAAAAATTAAATGTTCAGTTCTATTAAAACAAACTTCTTGGAGATACTGCTTTCCCATCCTTGAAGGTTAGAGCCATTGTGTCTTTATTTTCTTACACTTTGCTCAAGGCAACAAATTATATATTCAGACATTTCATTGCTGGTTTGGGTACATTGGAATTTGATAGTGGTATATTCAAGTCTTTCCTTCAGTGTTTTGTAGTACTTGAAAACTGTTACATGAACTGCTAGCAGAAGTTAGAACTTAAACATTTTTGTTGTTAATATTTATAGGCTAGATTAGGGACACATTTGCATCAACTAATCACTATTAGATTTAGCAAAAGAGATACGAATGAGTGGATATGGTCACTATACTTTATTGTACTTTCAAAGGCTATTTCTTAAGTTTAGTGACCAGTCTTTCTTACCAGTATGAAAATTGTCCTGGTGTGTAATCCCATTGAATTAATAATGCTGTGATTTACAATAGGTTATCAACACTTAAAAGTATGTGTGTGTGTGTGTGTGTGTGTTTCTGAAGCAAGGATCCATGATTTCTATTATCAAAGGAATCTGGGAACTTTCCCTCAAATTTAAGAATTACCATTTAAGAATACACACACATACATATGTACATACATACACTAAGCAGTTTAAGGCAGCTAAAATTTGCATTGGCTGCTTCCTGTAATATGCTGGTCCAATGTGCTTAGGTGATGTAACTTCTTCCATGTTTCAAGGTGTCAGTTTAGCAATCGAATGAGGCATAGATTTAAATTTAGGATTAGGTTTTGGAATATATTTTGTTTTAGTGTCTCATATTTCTAGTATTTGACAACTTATCCCATATTATATTTCAAATTCTTCCTCATACTTCTTGATCTTAGCTTAATTAAGCAAATCAGTATCAGAGATTAGTTGACTGAACCCAACATTAAATGCCATTTTGTACTTGCACAAAAACCTAATACTTTGTTTTTACTGAATCACCAGCTCAGGTCACTAAGAAAGATCTTGAGAGGAAAGAGGACTAGAAGTCAAATAGATATTTAAATAAAGAATTAGTCCCTATATTAATGTTGGCATATGAAGAAGATATCTGTCAAGTCTTACTGGAGAAATAATCAAGGCGAGAATTTCCAGGCCTGTTCTCTAACTCATTTATTAAAAAAAAAATTCTTTTAAGCAAAAAAGCAAATTGATTATTACATTTCACTTAATTTCCTATTAAATATACTAGTTATTTTAAAATATGATGGAAAAATTAACAGGCTTTACCTATCATACAATACTTGGGCATACAACTTAAACTATCATTGTAAACTTATTAATGCTTGATAAAATAACATGGAGGCATTAAAGATAGTACATAATTTGTATTTTAAGGAACTACAAATGTGGAAATGTTGGAAGTCTGAACTGTTTTAGGTCTAAAAATCTGGCTTTTATCTTTCCAAAAGGGGCAAACTTTCTGTGCCTCAGTTTATTCTAAATATGTAAAAGATGCTCATTTTTTTAGTGCTTTATACTCCTGAATAAAGGGCATAGTATAAGCTCAGAATATGACTTAAATAATCATAAATATTATAGTTTTTGTTCTTGAGTGTGCAGATCTTTTTCCCAATGACAATATTTCTTAAAGTCAGTTTTTTTTAATGCTGTTAAAATTTGTAGAATTATATTGTCTTTGAGTATGGCATCATCTCTTCCCAAAATGTATTTTGTGGTTGCTTTTGTGTTTTGATCAAAATTGAGATTATTTTGAGAGTATAAGAAGCATTAAAAGTCTATTTTTTCCAGTATCTTTCATATATTTAAATATTTAGATTCTCTTTGCCCAAAGTACAGTGGTATCAGGTTACTAATACATATATGTAAACTTTTGTGCATGGATGGAATTCATTTAGGTCTGTCAAGTACTGTCACTTTTAGAGCTATTTGAATTATATCTGTTTTTTAGTATAAAATGTTATTTGATAATGTGCAGATAAATTCCTTTTAGAAAGTGACTGAAAATCAGAGTTCTTCGGTTCTCTGGGAATATAGTGGTGTTTGTTTTGTTTTACTGTGATATCCAACACTTCTACAGCTGCTGAGAAAATCTTATGAAGAACTGAGGTAACTTTTTTCAGGTCACACTTTAAAACAAACTAAAGTTTAAAATCGAAGCCTTCTTGGCCAAAAAAATTGCAAAATAGAGATAATGGAGTCTGAGGGACAGACTGCAGGACCCAGGTAATTTTAACTTCTTTTGAAGATCTATCTGAATTTTAGTTCACACATGTCTGTTACTTAATCCCAGTGTCTCTGTTATTAGAAATCAGAGTTTAATACACTGTGAATATGCATATGTATTTTTACATAAAGTATCCTAGTTTCTAATTTCACTTTTCTGATCTGAAAAAATTAAACTCAAAAAATTGGGTCTAAGTCTTCAATAATAGCTGAACTATTATCAAGTTCAGCTTTGTCCTACTGTCCTGAGATTTAGACTTCTCTGCCTATAACTGGTATTTTTGAGAACATGGTACTATCCCAGATAAGGTATTGAAATACCATGGCAGAAATACAAAACCTAAACTATAAATCACTGTAGATTTAAAAGACAAAATTCTAGTATTATTCTACAATGCATCTACTTTATTTGATATTAATTTTAAGAATTTTTTTCAAGTCACTTGATAATTTGTCATTAACTTTAAAAACTTTATATCCTTCCTCACTGCAGTATACTGCTTTGAGAGGCAGAGATGCCTCCTAGATTAGAGGATGCACAAAGCAAAATTCTTCTGAAGGTGATGCTGGCTTCTTTGGGTCTAGTAGTCACACCTTTAAATAGGAAGTCAGGAAATTGAAATGCCCATTTAAATTCCCAAATCAGTGACCTGTCCAAATGGGCATTATCACTGAAATACCACTATAGGGTAGTTCTAACTAACAATATGTTTAAAGGCTAAGATTGGCATTTAATCTTTGAAGATCTGTCTGGTGTATCTCAATTTTGTCAGTTTTTATTCCTTTTAAGTCTTTTTTTTTTTTTTT